AAGAAAATAAATTGAAAAAAAAAAATCATCACCCTTTTTTTTCCTTTCTTTCTCTTTCTCTCTCCCTCCCTTCCTCCTCCTCTCTCTCATTAGAGAAAACTTTAACCAAAGTTTAATTTCCAGATTCGTCACTTTGATTTTTTTTAATTCCGGGATTCGCCCCATTTTTTTTCCCCTTTTTCCCCCCCTCTTTTTTTTTCGCTTTTCCCAGTAAATATTTTAACTGAAAACATTTTCCTGAAAACTTTATATATAAGAATTAACTAAACCCCTAAAGGATTTTATTAAAAACTTTTTTTTTTTTATACATATTTTTTTTTTTTTTTTTGGGAAAACCTTAATTAGAAAAAGAAAAAGAAGGGGAAAATAAAAATAAAAAAAATTTTGTTTCATAAATACCCTTAAAAAAAGAAACGAAAAAAAAAAAAAAAACACGAAATTTATTTTAAATAAAAAAAAAAAAAGAAGTAAAGAGACGGCGGAATGACGGAGGGGGTGGCGGTGGCGGTGGTGGCAGGGGCGATGTAAAGGAAAAACACAAAAAAAAAATAAAATCAAAAAATTTTCAAAACAAGAAAATTCGTGGGCAAATGAAAAATAAAAAAAAAAAAAAGAAAAACCCTTTTTTTGAATTTATATGTGAAGAAATTTGTTTTTTCATCATCATCATCATTATTATTATCATCATTATTATTTAAAAAAAACGTTATTTATAATAAACACATACATACATAATACATAAAATTATACCGTTGATTAAAGTTTAAATTTTTTTTTTTAATTAATAATAATTTATTTAAAAGGAAAACAAACCGATTGTTAAATTTAAACGACAAATTAAAGTCTCCCCCTCCCCGATTCCCGCCCCCCAAATTAATTTAACGGCGATAACCTAATTGAGTGAATTTGATAAAGGATAAAAAAAAAAAAATTAATTTTTCTCCTGTAGGAAATGAGAGGAAAAAATAAAGAAAGGAAAGGGATGCGACGTAAAAAATAGGGTTCAAAAAAGGTTGGAAAAGAAAAAAAAATAAAATATGAGTGGAAGGGGGTGGGGGGGTGAGGTGGAGGTTCAAAGTTTGCCTGATAAAAAAAAAAGTGACTGGAAGTAAATTTAATGATGATGATGATGATAATAATAATAAATGGAAGCCTTTTGGACGTAAAAAAAAAAAAAAAATTATTTATTTATTTGACATTTTGTTTTCTTCTGGTACCAACCTGATTTTTTTTTTTTTTTAGAAAATTATAAAATTATTAATTCTATTAACCAGTTACAATAATAATAATAATAATAATAATAATAATAATAATAATAATAATAATAATAATAATAATTTACAATTAAAATTGTTTTTTAATGGCGATTATAAATTAAAATTAAAGTTACAAAAAAAATTTTTTTTTTTTTGACAGCTGACGTTTTGTAAAAAAAAAAAAAAATTGTTTTCCAAACTTTTTTAAAAACTTTTTCTTTTTTTTTTTATAAAAAAAATTTAGCTTTAAGCTTTTTTTTTAATTATTTAATTAAATTATAATTTTATTAATTATTATTATTATTATTTACTTATTTCGTTTCTATTTTTTAAAACCCAAAATTACTTGTTTCCGTTTTTTTAAATAATAATAATTATTAAACGATTAAAACTCATTTAAAAAAGTTTTTTAAATTTATAAAATTATTCCGCCCCCCCCCCGTCCCCTCTCCCTCCGAAATTTTTTACAGTAAACAAAAAACATTAGTTAATAATAATAATGATGATGACGATGAAAATTTTCCGATTTTTATACAAAAAAAAGGTTACTAATAATAATAAAACGTAAAAAAAAAAATAATTTTTTTTTTTTTGTACGTAGGATGAACGATGGGAAAATAAAAAAAAATAAACTTAAGGAAACGGAAATGACGTCAGTCTGAAAATGATTTGTATCCGTTTGGTTTGGAATAAAACCAACAACCGCGGGATTTTTTTTTTTAACGACTTTTACTTTTTATTTATTACTATTTATATTAAAAAAAATAAATAAATACGGGAAGAGAAGGAAAAAACATTTTTTTTTTTTCTTTCTCTTTTTATTTTACAAACGTATATATATATATATATGTATGATGACGTAATAAAAAATGCATCGTGTATAAAAAAAAAAAAAAAAAGAGTGACGATACGATTTAAGTTTAAGTAACGTAATAATAATAAATATATGTATAAAAAAAAAATGTAAAAAAAAAAAAAAAGGATGAATTTTTTTTTTTACTTACCTTAGCTATTTTTTTTTTTTTTGTAACCGTAGTAAAGATATCACGATTTCAAATTATACAACATATATATTCTATTCGTTTGAGATTATAAAATGATATTGTTATGGAAATGGCCGACATTTATATACGTTAAAAGTTGAATGTTGTTAACATTTTGCCAAAACTTAAACCCCTAACACATACATATATGCATTCATAACCATTTATTTTATTTATATTTCCATTTTATTTTTATTGTTTAATTTTTTCTTTTTATATTATGAGAAAATTTCATTTCGAAAACAGGTGAAAAAAAAAAAATTTTTTTTTCTAAATTAAAAAGTTTTATTATTATTATTATTTAAAATATCGGATTTTAATTGAAATTTTTTTTTTTTGTCATTTTGCCACATATAAACATATATATTGAAAGACACTCAAATGATTACGTAGTTAATTTTATTAAATTTTTTTTTTTTTTTGATTTCCGTTAAAAAAAAGTCGATTTTTAATTGTTGTTGTCGTCGTCATCTGGTAATAATTACCCTTTTTTTTAAAAATCTCATTAAATTACAATTATACCATAATTATTTAATTTTAATTTAATTTATTATTTAAAAAAAAAAGTTATTATTCATGAGAGTTCATTTTATTTTCAACCCCCACCCGCCCCCGCACCACCTCATCCCCTCCGTCACTCAATATGGCGATCGATATAATATATAATAGTAGCTTTTTTAAAAAGAGAATTATTATTAAATAATGGTAATCTTAAATATTTTTTTATATGCGTTTATTATTTATTAAAAAGCAGATGATTTCGTTTTTTCCCCTCCCTCTCCTTTTTCCCTCTCCAATCTCAAAATTTAACGTTTTGAAAAAAAAAAACAAAAGCAAATTTTCATTTCGAATGGTTCAATTTTAAGAAAAAAAAAAATTAAAAACTTTAATTTTAAGTTTATGAAGGGGGTGGAAGGGGGAGGAGGGGGGAAGGGAAAATGAAAATTTTCTATCTCTATCTCTCTCTGTCTCATTCTTTATTTTCTTTTCATTTCATTCCAGTATTAGTAGTAAAGGGAAAAGTTATTCGTTTCAAAAACAGACATTCCATCGTTATTTTCTTACATTTTGTGTGGCAGAATCATTTGTTTGGTTTAAATATTTATAAAAAAAAAAAAAAAAAGGTTCGGTCCAGGTTCTTTAATTTCATTCTCGTGTTTGACCAGGAAATTTAAAAAAAAAAAAAAAAGGTTTTATTCGAGAAAAATAAAAGAAAAGAAAAGATTTTGGTTTTTCTTTTTTTTCTTTTCTTTTTTTTTTTTAGGATTACTAACGACCTTCTTCTTTCAATTAAGATATCAAAACAGGAAAAAAAAAATTTCTTTTTCTCTCTCGCACCCCCTCTCTCTCCCCTCTCCCTCTCTCTTTTTTTTCCTTTTTTTCTCGAATGTTTTTTAGAGTTTTCCAGCCGGAATCATTTATTATTCTTATTCTTTATATATATAATATTTTTATCCCTTCTTATAATAAAAGTAATAACAATGATAATAATGATAATGATAATGATAATTTTTATTACAGGACAAATAAAAACTTTGGCAGTTTTTGACGTCGAAACAAAATCTCATTATTGGTTGACGGTTTATGCGGAAGATCACGGAGTTATACCATTGAGTTCTCGTCTCGAAGTGAGTTTATTATCATTATTATTAACACGAATGAAAAAAAGAATTTTTTATTATCGATCGTAACATTTATATAATATATGTATTCATCAGGTATACGTGGCGATAGAAAATGTCAATGATAATTCTCCATTGACGGATGAACCTATTTATTATGCTTCAGTTCCGGAAAATTCAGAATCTGGAAAATTAATCGTTGAATTAAGTGCGACAGACGCAGATTTGGATCCGAATAATAAAATTTTTTATAAAATAACTGCTGGAAATCCTCAGAGTTATTTTACCATCGATTCTATTTCAGGTAAACATGCACGCGCACACGCACACAAACATATCAAAGGGTAAAAAGTAATAATATTTTATAATTTAAAAAAAAAAAGCAGAAGACAAGAAAAAAAAAATTTTTTTCCCCTCTTTACTTCCTAAAAACAAAAAAATTTTTTTTTTCTGTTTGTTTAGCTTTTGATTCGTTCATTGTAAAAAAAAAAAAAAATTTCTTTACTTTTTCTTCACCCCCCCCTCACCCCTCATCTCTCATCCTATCTCTCTCTCTCTCTCTCTCTCTAAAAAAAAAAAAAAAATGAAATAAAATTTTTTTAAAGAAAATTCAAGAGAATTGTTTTATAAGTTGATTGTCGACAACTAAAAAATGGTATTTTAAAATTTTCTTTTTCTTTTTTTCTTTATTTCCCCCTTCCTTCCCTCCCCCTCCCCCTATTTCCTTTATTTCCCCACCTCTCCTCCTTTTTTTTCTTTCTTTATTTAACTTATTTGTTTACTTTCGTTACAGGTATAATAAAAACTACGGAAAGAAAATTGGATAGAGAAAATCAATCAGAACATAGTTTAGAGGTAATTTTTTTTCTCTCTCTCTCTTTCAAATATTATTATTATTATTATTATAATTCAACTAAAAATTATATATATATATATAAATCAATAAATCAAAAGAAGAAGAAGAAGAAGAGGAAAAAAAATTGAATGACGTTTATATAAAAAAAAATTTTTTTTTCTGTCGTTTGCTTGCTGTTGTTGTTGACCTTCAGGAAATTGAAATTCTTTTCGTTGTTTCCGATACACGTGCGTGTACACGTTAAACACGCGTGCGTGAAAAACCCTCAATTTTTACCTTTAATAAAAAAAATCGAAAAACAAGAAAGCATCAGGTGTTTTTTTTTTTTTTTACTTAAAAATCTTTGTTTTTTATTTAAAAAAAAAAAAAAAAAATTGAATTTTCATATCTTAAAGGTTTACCCAAAAAAAAAAAAAAAAAATTATTTATGTTAATGGCAAGGGTAACAAACGAACGAGCGAGAAAACAAACAAACAAACAAACAAAATGTTAATTTTAAATTTTTGGAGAGAGAAAAAAAAAAAGTTGTAAACAAAATAAAAATCAATGACTATTTTTTTTCTTCTTCTTCTTTCAAATATTTATTTATTTTTTTTTTTGTACTCTATTATTTATACTTCCGGTTCCTTTTTCTTCTTGTTTTCCTTTTCCTATTTCCTACTAAAAGTAAATCGGTAAGAGGTAAAAAGGAGAAGGAGAAAGGGAATATATACATTTTGTTAAGAAGGCTTAAATAATTTTTATTGAGAAAAAAAAAAAAAAAAACTTTTCTCCACATTTTTTTTTGTCCCTTTTTTCGCCATTTTTAATTTATTTTATATGGTTTACGGTTTTGTTTTGTTTTTTTTCTCTCTTTCTCTTTCTCTCTGTCTCTTTCTTTTTCTTTTTCTCTTTTTTTTTTTGTTCATCAATTTTCTCTAGAGAATATTTTTATTTATTATTCGACTTACTAAAATGGGCCCCTGGAGAACTTTTGTGAATTTTCTTTTCCCCTTATTTTTTTTTTTTGAGTGTTTGTCTTTTTTCTCTTTTTTTTTATTTTTAAAAATTATTATTATTATTATTATTATTATTATTGCTGTTGTTTTTTTGTTAATAATAATAATAAAGGTAGTATATAAATAGTTAAATTTTTAAATGTGTGTAAAATATATATATATATTTGTATAAACTTTTTAGATAACAATAACAGACAATGGGACGCCTCAACTTTCTTCAACAACCAAAGTTATCATTTCTGTTAGTGACGTTAACGATCACGCTCCAGAATTTAATCAGCCATATTATAAAATAACAGTTCCAGCAACGACGAGTAATAATAATAACTTGGACGATGATATTTATCAGGTATCTTTTTTTTTTATAATCATCATTAATTTTAAATACTCATATTTATGATCGAGTATGATAAATAAATCAATTTCTTCCCCCACCCCACACCCACCCCCCCCCACTCCACCCCGCCATTTTGTCGGGTTACTTGCAAATAATTTTTCTTCTGCTTTTTATTTATTCATTAATTAATTTTTTTTCCAATTTTTTATTTATTTATTTTGCTGTTAATAAATTTTAGCCATCCTTATTTAAAAAAAAAAAAATAATAATAATTTAAATATGGCGTCAAATATCTTTAATCAATAAATAAATTAATAATAGATTTAGTCGTTTTTTTTTTTGTTAATTCGTTTGTTTTTATTTATTTATTTATTCGATGAAGAATTCAAGCGATGGAACATCAGATTCAATTTTTGATTTTGAACCTTGGGAAACGTCTCAGGTTCAATTTTTAGAAAACGAACCTTTATTTAGGGTAAGCCTCCATTTTTGTTTTTCTTGCATGTTTTTTCGAGCATGTTTTCATAATAATAATAATAATAATGATATTATTTTATCATAAATTTTTTTTTTTATTTCTTACCAAGTAGTTATTACTATACAGTTGAAATTATTTACAAAAAAAATTTTTTTTTCCCGCCATTAATAGCATGATGATGATAATAATAATAAAATGTTGTCCCTTTTTTTTTTTTTTTTTTTTTTTTTGGTAAAAATTAATGTAAAAATAAAAAGCAGAAGATTTTTTTTTTAAAAAAGAAACAAATAAGAAAAATAACAACAATATTTTTTTTTTGAAAAAGAGAGGGAGGAAGAGAGTTTTCGGTGAGGGGATGAGGAGAAGAGGGGGAGGAAAATTATTCAAATTTTTTTTTTCCAAAAATATTTTTTTTTGGACTTGAAATTCTCAGAGAGTCCAATGAATATTCATGATGAAATTATTTCTAAATAAATCAAAGCTTTTGTGATATTAAAAAAAAAAAAAAAAAAAAAAAATACGTTCATTCGTATGGCGTGCTAGCTAACAAAATGGCGTAATTAAAGTTAGTTTGTGGTGATGGGAAGATGGGGGTATGGGGAGTGGGAGGGAGGGGAAAAAGAGGAAGTTGAAAATAATAATAATAATAATAAAAGGGATGAAAAGTAGAGGAAGAGAAATCGATGGTGAAAAAAAAAAATTTCCATCGCAATCAATTTATCAATAATGAAAATTTTTTTTTAAAAAAAAAAAAAAGTGGAAATGAAAATTATCAATTCCCAATGTTGTTATTTTTCTAATTATAAAATTTTAAAAGGTAATTATTGGGTTTTTCCTTTTTTCCTTTTTTTTTCCCTTTTAATGTTGTCTGTGATGAAACAAACAAAAAAATAAATTTTTTTTCTCTCTTTTCTTTTTTAATTTTTTTTTTTAACAATTATTGCATTTAATAAAATTTATTATTTTTATTAATTAATTTTTTTTTAAATGTTTCTTAGTTAGAAAAATTTTCCCTCCCTCCTCCCCCCTCGAAAAATAATAATAATATTTAAAGTTTTGATTCTGAAAAAAAAAAAAAAAATGAATTGATTTAGGTTTTAGCTTACGACAAAGATTCCGGTCCAAATGCGGATATTGTATACAGTATTAAATCTGGAAAAGGAAAAGGAAAATTTAAAATTCATCCTAAAACTGGAATGGTTTATTCAATGAAAGAAATTTATCCAGGACAAGAATACGAATTCATGGTATTAAATAAATAAATAAATTTATTAATTATTTTATTTTTAATTTAAATTTTTTTTTAATAAATGAAAAATTTATTTTTTAAATAGATAAGAGCATCAGATAATGGAATCCCGCAGAAAAATTCAACAGCAAGAGTTTCGGTGACGGCAATTCCCGTGAAATCAAATTCTGAACATCCTCCTACCATTTTAAATCCTGAACAACAAGTACAAGTCACTGAGTCGGATGATGTCGGATATTTGGTTGCATTGATTCAAGGATCCGACAAAGATGGCGACAAATTGTGGTATAAAATTGTCGGTAAGTTTATATTTATTGTTTAATAAGTTAATGAAATTAAAAGGGCGCCAAGAAAGAAAATAAAAAAAATTTTTTTTTAGGCGGAGATCCTAGAAATGAATTTTTTATCGGTAGAGAAACCGGAAACATTTTGTTAGCTAAAACATTAGACTGGGAAACACAACATTATTATAATTTAACCATAAGTGTCACAGACGGTTTTCATTCAACATACGGTCAAGTAAGTTATTATCTATCTTTTTCTTCTTTTTCACGATGGTGATGATGATGAAGTTTCTATCTCTTTTTTTTTTTAAATTTTCTAGGTGTACGTCATGGTGATAAACAGCAATGATCACCGTCCGAAATTTTCAAAAAATACTTATTTAGTAGACATATCAGAAAATGTTGAACCAGGAACGGAAATATTAGAATTAATTGCATCAGACGAAGATGAAGATGATAAATTATTTTATTCCCTTCATGCTAGCAGAAGTCCGACTTCGTACGACATTTTTAAAGTTGATAGCCTGAGTGGTATCGTTAAGTTAGCGGCACCACTTGATCGGTAGGTTTCCTAGGTCCATAAATTTAATTTTGAATTGTGTAATAATAAATTTCATTTGTTTTGTTTCTTCTTCTTCTTCAGGGAAACCATGGAAGAACACGTTTTAATTGTCATGGTTAAAGATCAAGATACTCCATCAAAACGAAATTATGCAAAAGTTATTGTTCGGGTACACGATCACAATGATCACGCTCCTGAATTTGTGAGTCCGATAATTCAGGCAAAAGTATTTGAAACTTCAGAAGTAGGAACGATTGTTGCTAAAATTCTTGCCATAGATAAAGATAAAGAACAAAATGCTAAAATACACTATTCTATAATATCTGGTAAATGAACAGAAAAAAAAAAAAAAATTTATTGACGAGGATATTTTTTGTGACGACCCCCCTACCAAACCGACCGATCATTTTTTATTACAGGAAATGTCGGAAATATATTTTCGATTCATCCGCAATTAGGGGATCTTCAAGTTTATCGTTCTTTAGATTCTTCTTCCGCTTCTGAATTTATGCTCAACGTAAAAGCATCCGATGGTGGAAATCCACCTCTTTCTTCGACTATACCCGTTCATGTTATGGTTACTATGGCTGACAATGCACCTCCCAAGTATTATTCTAACTTTTTAAATAAACCTAAAAGTAAAAGTTATATCGCTAAAAAAAAAAAAAATTATTTTAGATTCACGAAAAACGAAATAGCAGCAGAAATATTTGAAAATAAACCGATTGGAACTTATGTGACCCACGTTCAGGCACGATCAGCTTCTTCTCTTTTTTACGATATCATAAAGGGTAACGAAAATGACATGTTTTTAATTAATCCAAGCGTTGGAGTTATTTTAACAAAAGGTATTTTGGATTATGAAACAAAAAAATTGTATAATTTAACCGTCGAGGCTGTGAATCTGGTAATTATTAATTTTCTGTTACAATTGTTGATTTAAATAAATGTTATCGAAAACTAAAATGTAATTGATAATAATAATAATAATAATAGGCTAGCGCAAGAGTAACGTGTCAAATTATAATTCACGTCTTGGACAGAAATGATAATGCTCCTAGATTTTTACAAGCATTTTATCAGGGTAATATTAGCGAATCATCACCCATAGGTTCTTTGGTACTCACAACTGATAATTCTCCATTGGTAATCAAAGCCGAAGATGAAGATTCTGAATTGAACGCTTTATTAAGTTATGATATCGTTGAAGATTTACCGAGAAAATTTTTTCACATCGATTCATCAACCGGTAAAAGAAAAGAAAAAAAAAATTCGTGGGAAAATTCGATTGAATATCTTATTTAAATATTATTTTTTTTTTTTAAATTTTAGGAGCCATTCGAACTGTCATGACGCTCGATCACGAATCCATTTCGACTTTTATTTTTCACGTTAAAGTATCGGATGTAGGAAAGCCCAGATTGTCGTCTGAGAGTACGGCTAAAGTTCAAATAACCGTCAAAGACATAAACGATTGTCCTCCACATTTTCAATATAACGAATACAATTCAACTCTTTTACTTCCGACTTATAAAGGAATCGCTTTGATACAAGTCAACGCAACGGATGATGATTCTCCAGAGAAAACTATCCTTCGCTACGATATAATCGAGGGAAATAAAGGAAATACATTTGTTATAAATTCAAAAACCGGAATGATCACCGTTCAAGATGTCGGAAACATGAAAAAATTTTACAAACTCCACGTACGAGTATCGGATGGAAAATTTTCAAATATCTGTTACGTTAACGTAAAAGTTGAAACTTCCGAAAATTCCGGTTTGGTATTTCAAAAACCAATATATCACGGATCGGTTTTGGAAAATTCTACCAAAGTGGTCACGATAACCGTTGTCAACGTACTCGGAAGTGCCTTAAATGAACACGTCGTTTTTACAATATTAAATCCCACCGAAATGTTTGTCATTGGTCGAACGAGTGGTGCCATTCGAACGACGGGTAAAAAATTCGATAGAGAAACAAAAGATAAATATGAGCTTATAATCGAAGGAAGGAGCAACGATCATGAGAAAGCAAGAATAGCTCACGTCGTCGTAAACGTTACCATTCTCGATATAAACGATAATTGTCCGATGTTTGTTAATCTTCCTTATTATGCCGTCGTACCCGTGACCGCAAGCAAAGGCGATGTAATAACGAACGTGCACGCGGTAGATTTGGACAAGGACGAATACGGAGAAGTCAGATACGAACTCGTTAAAGGACACGGAGAATTATTTAAAGTGTGTCGTAAAACGGGTGAAATATCTCTGAAACAAAATCTAGAAGGTCACAACACCAATTACGAACTTATAATAGCTGCTTACGACGGAGGAATTAATCCGTGTTCGACGGAAGTTCCGGTGCACATAAAAATTATTGATAAATCAATGCCGGTTTTCGATAAGCAATTCTATACCGTTACCGTACCTGAAAGTATTGAACTTTTATCACCTTTGGCCGTCAACATACAAGCAGTATCTGCATTAAATAGAAAATTAATTTATTCTATTTCCAAAGGAAACGATTTTGAAGAATTTGCACTTAATTTCAACACAGGTAAGAGAAAAAAATCTATTAAAAAAAAAAAACAACAACAATAATAATAATAATAATAATAATAATTTTAACCGATATGAGGTGCTGGTCGAACAAAAAAAAAAAAAAAATTGGCTCATGAGGTCGTGAAAACTTTTAATATTATTATTTTTTTTTTTTTTTTCCCTAAAAACAATTTAGAAAACAATATCCTCGATAAATTTTCCCGGTGCTTTTAATTTTCGTTTTTAAAAGCGATAAATCTAATGTGAAATAATTATAATAATTATTTTAGAACCTAAAATTTTTTTTCATTACGTTAAAAATAATGAATAATTAAGATAATAAAAAGGTTTACAAAAAAAAAAAGCGAAAAAAAGGTTGGGTAAACGACCCATTTTATTCATTTGGGTTCCTTTGAGTCTAATAATGACGGAATTTTACAGTCCCAAGAATAATTAAAAAGTTTACGAAAGGTTTTCCCTCTCCACCCCCACCCCCACCTCCCCCATTAAACTTAACAATTTTTTTTTAACGCGTAATTATTATCGTTATTATCATTAATAAAATTTAAGTTTTAAGAGTTTTCGGTTTGGATTTACGACCTATATTATAAATATTATTATTATTAAAATTTTCTATTAATTAGCCACGTTTATTTTTACGTACCTGAAAATAATAAAATAAATTTTTTTTTTTTATTCTTAAAGAATTAATAAAAATTGTATTTTATTAATGGATTTAATAAAGATAACTAATAAAATATTTTCCATAAATTTTTCACAGCCCCAGACACTGGAAACGGCCCTTGTGAGTATTTCACAAATTTATTCATTTTGGTTTCTTTTTTTTTTTTTTTTTGCATGGCTTTTTAAGCCCCATTTCAGCTTTGCTAACATAATAATAATAATAATAATTTTTATTTGGGTTTTTTTTTTTTTTAATCATTAATATTTACACGTTTGTAAAAATTTTTTTTTTGTTTTTTAAATGGAATATACGTACATGTAATGAATGGACGAACGTTTATACGTTTTGTGTGTCACTCATTTTGATTTATTCAATTTTTTTTTCGTTTAGGCGTGATTAGGGTAGTTGACGAACTTGATTACGAAACGAAAAAAGATTACGAATTAACTATTCGGGCTACAGATGGAGTGACTGGAGTTTTTGCAGAAGTTCTTGTAAACGTACTCGTTGAAGATGTCAATGATTGTCCACCGGAATTTTCTCAAGATCTTTATAATATATCTATATCAGAAGCAACGCCATTCGGTACATCTATTTTCAGGGTTATTGTTAAGGATAATGACACTGGTAAGTTTTTTTTTTTTTTTTTTTTTTTGCGAAAGAAACAATTTCTTTTTGACTAAAACCATTCTTCGTTTACAAATTATTTTCATTTAGGAATCAATCAAAAAGTTAGATTTGAAATACAAATGGATTCCAGTAATTCTTCGGAATATTTTCACATAGATCCGGAAGAAGGAACAATATATCTTAAAAAATCTTTAGATCACGAAGTTAACAGTTACCATCATTTTACCGTGGTAGCTAACGATTTGGGAGTACCCAGTTTGTCAAGTACGTCACACGTTTGGGTAAATGTAATCGACATGAATGACAATCCTCCGAAATTTGAACAACCCTCTTACAACTGTCTTCTGTCAGAACATGCCGTACGTGGACAGTTTATAACTGTCATCACGGCGAGTGATCCTGATTTTGTTGATCGTGATAAGTTGTACTACGCCATTGTTGGCGGAAATGAAAATCAAATTTTTTCCGTCGACCATTCCACAGGTTAGAATAATAGAATTATATTTCTTTTTTTATTTTTGAAAAATGAGTTAGAATGCAATTTTTAAAAATTTTCAGGTGTGTTGACTCTTGCAAATCTTCAAAATTTTCAAGAGCACCAATATTTGTTGAACGTGTCAGTAAGCGATGGAGTGTACACTAGTTTTTCTCGAGTCAGAATTGAAATTCTTCCCGCGAATCTCCATAATCCAACATTTGCTCAGCCCCAAATAGAAGCTGTCGTGCGAGAAAATCAACCTTCTGGCACTTACGTCACACAAACATCAGCAACCGATGACGATTTCGGAACTTATTCTGAAATATCATATTCCATATCTTCTGAATTGATGAGAGAATATTTTGAAATAAACAAAACGACAGGAGTCATAAGAACCAAAAGACATCTTGATCGGGAAATAAAAAAACTTTATGAAATACCCGTGACTGCATCTGATCAAGGAGGACGTTTGGGATTTTTAAACGTTCGAGTGAAAGTGAGAGATGAAAACGACAACGTACCCGTTTTTCAGGTTTCAGAATATAAGGCTGCCATACCTGGAAATTTCACAGTCGAATTAGGATTTTTAAAAGTGAAAGCTACGGATTTAGACGAGGATATTAATGCAGAAATTGAATATTCAATATCTCCACCGTACACGGATAAAACTGATGAACTCTTCGGTATAAACTCTCAAACGGGAGGAATCTATTTATTAAAAAGTGCAAAACCTTTTCAAAATCAATTATTTCAATTTTTTGTCAAAGCAGAAGACAATGGGAAACCTTCGAAACATTCTCACGTTCCCGTCGAAATTTATATAATGGGACCCAACGACGTAGCTCCCTTATTCGAAAGAAAGGATGATAAATTTTTCCTTTCTGAAAAATCGGCCCCCGAAACTGTTATAACGAGACTGAAATTAGTGTCTAATGTGACTGTGAAATTCAGGATAGTCTCGGGTTCGATTGACAATCCTCAATTTTACGTAGATTCTACCGGACAGCTATCTTTGGCGCGTCCCTTAGATAGAGAAGAAAGTAATTTTCATAATATCGGAGTATTAGCAGAAAGTAAAGCGAATCCTTCTTTGGCTGCTTTGACGGAAGTTTTGCTCAAAGTATTAGATGAAAATGACAATGCACCCAGGTTCGAAAGCACTCCTTATGAATGCACCATAGCTGAAAACATTGAAGAAGGTTCATCGATACTCAGAGTTATAGCTCATGACAACGATTCGGGTAACAACAAGGAAGTCAGGTATTCCTTGACGCAAGATAATGGAGACTTGGCGAATATTTTTGCCATCGATAGTTACACGGGTTGGATAAGAACGCTTGTACCTTTGGACAAAGAAAAAAATCCCGAATATAATTTTCAAATAATGGCGACGGATAATGGAATTCAGAAACATTTTGCAAGAACGTCGGTTCACGTTAAATTGAAAGACTACAACGATAATCCTCCGGTATTCACTAGCGAGCATTACACGGGTTCCGTGAGCGAAGATGCACTTCCGGGAACAGTTGTCATACAATTGAACACGTTAGATCTCGATTCAGACTTAGATTCTCGTGTCGATCTTTATATTACGTCTGGAGATATAATGGCACAGTTTCAGATAAGGCAAACGGGAGAAATTTACGTGGCCAAACCTTTGGACAGAGAACTTATTTCGCATTATAATTTGGAAGTAACTGCAACCGATGGGAAATTTGTGACGTCTACAAAAGTCAGCATTGAAGTGATTGATGCAAATGGTAAGAGAAAAAAAAAAAAAAATTGATTTTATTCTTATTTTGTTAATGTTTTTGAAAAAAAAAAAAAAAAAAAAAAATTTTTTTTTTTCGTGTCAACAGATAATCCCCCGTACTGTATGAAATATCGTTATCGTCACATTCTCTCAGAAGGTGTTCTTCCGGGTACTTATGTCACAAGCATAGAAGCCGTAGATATAGACGAACAATCAACATCGAATCTTCGTTTTTATTTGACGGGCGAAGGTGCCGAAAAATTTTCTTTAGATAAAACTTTGGGTCATCTGAAAACAGCTCTTCCTTTGGATCGAGAAGAACAATCAAAATACCAACTTGTTGCACACGTTCAAGACCGTGACAAACCAAAATGGGAGTGTTCGTCTGAAGTTTATATTTTAATATCTGATTTAAACGATAATCCTCCGCAATTCGAAAAAGAAATGTATTCTGCTACTTTACCAGAAGATGTACAAATCGGAACTTTGGTTACAAAACTCCACGCCACAGACAAAGACATCGGTACTTTCCCATTGCAAACCTTATTTTTCACAACAAAAAAACGTTTTATTAAAAAAAAAAAATTTTTTTTTTTCAGGTATAAATAGGAAGATAAAATATACTTTTATCGATTCTGCTAATGAACATTTTAAAATCGAACCTGACAGCGGAATCGTCACATTGTTAAAACCGTTGGACAGAGAACAAAAAGCAACTTATAATTTATCCATAAAAGCTTTCGATCAAGGAACTCCTCAACTTTCACAAATAACAAAGCTTTTGGTTTTGGTATTAGACATAAACGATAATCCTCCGGAATTCGCTTACAAAACATACTACGGAACAATACCTGAATCGGAACCTATCGGAACGGAAATAGTAAGAGTTTTAGCCACGTCAAAAGACACAGGAATAAATGCTGAAATTTCTTATTCCATCGTCGGTGGAAACGAACATAAAAAGTTTGAAATTAATCAAAAAACAGGTTCGAATTAACTAACACTTTAAAGAAAAAAAATTTTTTTATTTTTTATTTTTATTTAATCCCTAACTTAAATTTTTTTTCTTCAGGAGTTGTAAAAATTGTTGAACCGTTAGATTTTGAAAGAGCCAAAGATTATCTTTTAACAATTCAAGCCACGGATGGTGGAGTCCCACCATTAAGCAATCATGCTACTGTTAATATAACTGTGACCGATAGCAATGATAATCCTCCAGTTTTTATTCAAATGTCTTATTCAGCTACAATAAGAGAAGATACACAAGTCGGTGATAAAATATTGCAAGTAAGAAAAATTTTCAGAAAAAAAAAACAATAAAATTTGACACTCCTTTTTTGTTTCGAAAATTAAAGTTTGTTTTTTTATTTTAAAAAAAGGTGACGGCCAATGATCTTGATAGTAATCTTAACGGTCAAATAAGTTATTCGATAATAAACGGAGATAGACAAAATCAATTTAGAATCGATAAAGATAATGGATATCTTATCGTAAATGCTCCTTTAGACAGAGAAATGATTTCTTCGTATGTTCTTGAAATTCAAGCTACCGATCATGGAATTCCAGAACTTTCAAGCTCGGTTTTGGTTAATTTGGAAATTTCGGATTTCAATGACAATCCCCCACTATTTTCTCAGGATAATTATACGGCTGTTGTGCAAGAAGACAAACCCCCGGGATTCGTTATATTGAAATTTCACGTTACGGATGCGGATGCCGGTTTTAACACGTCTCCATTTACATTTGACTTTAGAGCCGGAAATGAAGGATTAATGTTTAAATTAGCTCAAGATGGTTCGTTGCAAACTGCAAAAAAATTTAATCATCGAATGAAGGATAATTATCTGTTACACATAAGAGTTTTTGACAATGGAACGCCACCCATGTTCAGCGACACGTTTGTAGCTGTTAAGGTATAATAAAATGAAAAAGTTAATTTGGTTTTATTTTAGTTCGGTTTGTTCACTCCGATTTTATATATATATATTTTTTTTTAATAGGTTATAGAAGAATCTCAATATCCGCCAGTTTTAACGCCATTAGAAATCGTAGTCAATTCTTACTTGGATCAGTTTTCTGGAGGAGTTTTAGGAAAAATTCACGCCACGGATCAAGATCCTTACGATACTCTTACGTATTCTATAAATCCTAAAATTTCAGGTTCAAAAATATCTGATTTTATTAAAATTGATGCTCAAGATGGAACTCTTACCGCTGTTTCTATTCTTGATGTTGGCGAATATCAATTGAACGTTTCCGTTACCGATGGAAAATTTACCACAACTGCCGTAGCCAAAATCACAGTCGAGCTTATAACGGAAGAAATGCTTGAAAATGCTATTATTATTAGATTTAGAGGAGTTTCGGCTTCGAATTTTGTTTTGAGTCACAAAAGAGGTTTTTTGAGAGCGATTCGAATGTCGTTGGGTGCTCGTCCCAAAGACGTTGTCATTATAAGCGTTCAACCCATTCAAGGAAAAAAAAGAGCTACCAGAAATCATTTTTATGATAAGAAACAAAAAATTTCAAAAAAAGGATTCAACAGAAGTTTTAATAATCATTCGATATCATACAAGGTTTACGATCAAAAAGACGTAACGAGTAACAAAAACCGGAAACCAAGACAATTACACGGTGGAGATTTACTTGACGTTCTTTTTGCCGTGAAAAAAAGTTCAACTTTGGGTTCTTTTCATTCACCTGAATCGGTAAAAAATAAAAAATTTTAAAATCGAAAATAATTACTATTAATTAAACGCAACGCAACTTAAAGGATTATAATAATAATAATTTTTTTTAGATACGCGTGGCATTAACCAAACATTTAGATGAAGTTGAACAAAGTATGGGGTTAATAGTAGAAGAAATAATTAGAGATAAATGTACACCTAATCATTGCGTTTACGGCACGTGCCACGACAGGTACGCTTTAGATTCCAGTCAAAGTGCGACAGTTGCAACTGACGTCACGAGTTTTGTTTTTCCTAAATATGCTCATAGAGTTAAATGCTTGTGTCAAGAAGGATACGCAGGTGAAAAAAAATTTTACTATTATTATTATTATTATTTTCGTATTAACAATTTTTTCAATCGCTCGCTTTACCTTTGATAATAATTAAATAAATATGTCTGGATAAATTTTTTTTAGGAGATCGCTGCGAAAAAATAGTTAATGAATGCGCTCGAAATTTATGTCCTCGACACAAAATTTGTACGCCAGATGCATCAGCCCAAGGTTATTCATGTCAATGCCCCGATGGTTTCACGGGGGAATTTTGCGAATTGGATATATCTCAGTGTCACGATGACACCTGCTACGTGCCGCGGAATCCGATTTCATTTACTGGAATGAGCTATGCAAAATATAAAGTTGGAAAAAGTGTCTTGAAAAGAGCTTTAGAATATGAAATGAATCTTCAAATAAGAGTTAGAACCGTTCAAGAAACCGGAACTCTTATGTATGCAAGCGGAAAAGTTGATTTTAATGTTTTGGAAATCGTTAGCGGAGTGGCTCAATACAGGTTTGATTTGGGTAGTGGAGAAGGACTTGTGAGAGTCAGTTCAGTTTTTATAAGTGACGGTCAGTGGCACGAAATCCTTTTGGAAAGAAATGGAAACAATGCAAGAATCGTAGTTGATGGAAAACACGTTGCACAGGGATCTGCCCCTGGTACCAATGACGTTTTAAACGTTCAGGGTGACTTTATTTATTTGGGAGCAGAGGTCAATTTCTTTTTTTTTTTTTTTTTTTTTTTTGAAATTTGAAATTTTAATCGTTTTGAAATAAAAAATATAAATTTTTTTCTTCATCAGATTAAACATCATCCGTCAGTGATTGGAGTTGAAAACATTCAAAGAGGTTTTATTGGTTGTATGGATGATATTAGATTGGCAAAAGTTGCTCTTCCCTTACATATGTCAGGCACGTCTTCGGTGGCCTTTTTAAAACTTTTTTATAATATAGAATTTAACTGCAATGCTGGAGCTGTGAGTTTAGATATTGTATTTTATTTTAAATACAATATTTAAGTTTCGATAATTTAAAAAAAAAAAAAAAATTATTATTTATTTACAGGTTTTGGTGCCTTTGGGAATTTGCGGATCTCAACCGTGTAAGAATGGAGGAACTTGCGAAGATCTAGGAGACGGATCGTACGAATGCAAATGTCATCCAAGGTATCGCGGAATCAATTGCGAAATAGATACGAATCCGTGTCTATCGTCTCCGTGCCTGTACGGCGGAAAATGCATTCCCATATCAGAAAATGATTATATTTGCGAGTGTTTAATACGATTATCGGGTAAGAGATGTCAGCACGGACGTCATTGCTCACCCAATCCTTGTCGAAATGGCGGAGTGTGCGAAGAAGGAGATAACGGTCCTATATGCAAATGTCGCGGATTCACGGGTGACACCTGCACAATTGATATAGACGAATGCATGGCCGCACCCTGTTTGAACAGCGCAACGTGCATAAATACAATCGGTTCCTACACATGCGCTTGTCAGCATAGCTTCACGGGAAAACTTTGTGCAAACTCTATATACTCTTCTCCCATCACTTCAAGCATATACAATTTAACATTGGAAGAACTTATTGGTATATTGGTCGTCATCATCGTTATTCTTCTTCTCGTTTTCTGCTTTATACTATATAGAAAATTACGAACGAAAAGGAATCGTCAGCACGGAAATCACATCAATAACGATACAAGGAAGGACATGGTTCTTAATTCAACTTGTAAATCTAATGACACGGAATTCAAAAGAGGATCCAAACTCAGCAATTTAGAAATCAGTCAGGTACGAAATCATTTGTTTTTTTTTTTTTTCCCCTGGAAAATATCTTATAAATGAGTGTGTATGTGGAAGAAATAAAAAAAGAAAAAGGGGGGAGGGGAAGGGGAGAGGATACAATAGGATCTTGGATATTAAATAAAAATTAAATTCAATTACAGGGACGTCAAATGATAACCAAAAGCAAACTTCGTTGCGTATCAATGACCATTAGAAAATGGTCAATAACAAAATGTATGTTGCACGCACGTGTTCAGAAAATCAAATTTTTTTTTTTTTTTTTTGTTCGAACCTTTTATACTCTCTTCTTGTGACGAAAAAAAAATTTTTTTTTTTTTTCTAACTTTACAAATGAATGGATTTTATTTGTTTGGATTGATATTAAATTACTAATAATAAAGACATATATATATATTGATAAGTTTCATTCGAATTAACTAAAAATAATTTTCAAGATGACAAAACTTTTATACAAATATCGTTTATTATTATTATTATTAAGTTAGGGGTGTGATTTTTTTTTTTTTTTTTGATTTTAAAATAACCGCATGGAACGATATGAGGAAAACTCAATGCAAAATATAATTGTTGATTTTTTTTTTATAGAGAGAACCTCTTCAATGTGCACCACGGCCAGCATCATACACCGCAAGTTCAACTGAGCCCGGAGGACATTTAGGACCCGTACAAACCCCTCTTAATAATTTAGATACACTCAGAAGTTATGGATCTGCTGGTGATGAATTAGAATGCGATTTACCACCCGATTATGTTAGAAATTTAAACAGATCAACGCCGATAAATAATCATACTTCAATTGATTCCGAATCTCTTTGCAAGCCATCATGGAACGCCGTCATTCCACTAGTCAGTTTTTCCGAAAACAATATTAAAAACGGTTTGTTTCTCTCTCTTTTTTTTTTTATTCAAAACAATCAATCATAAAAATACTCAAGTTTTCTTTTTTATTATCAGATTTAAAATTAGGAAATACAAAAATTATGGAACCGTTAAAAATTCAAAATCCGCGTTCAAATGTTGGAAGATCGAATATAAGTCATTCCGAAGAAGATACGAGTGAGTCATCATTTTTAACAAAAAAAGTTTTTAAAGCTTTTTTTTTTTTTAATTATGTAAGAAACGTTAATTTATTACCAAACAGGATATCATTGGGATTGTTCAGACTGGGTTAGACAGGATCAAAGACCTTTACCGAACATAACCGAAGTCCCTGGAAGCGAAGTTCCAGATTCATCGAGTTTTCATAGCAACGAAAGTAACGAATCAAATAATCAACATAACGTTTTACCACCTGGTATACATTTTTAATAACATTTTCTCTTTTCGACAATCTTTCTTTCGACTTCTTTCAATCTCGACTTTTTTTTCGACAATCCATAAATCTATTTTTTTTGTTGTTATTTATTAGTTTTAGGTCCAATAGATCCTGCAAGAGATTTTGATACTTTAAACGAAGATGTTGAATCTGAATACGTTGGAGATTCTGAATGCGGTACTGAATTCAATTATTCAGATGGAGGAGTACCTCGATTGAATGCTTTAGACAGCGGAAATGAAGATTATCGTTTTCAATCTTCTGATAGTTTTCTCAGACATCCAAACACATATTTTCCAAAGTACAACATTCCGAGCGAAACGGATCAAAACGAGGAAAGCGATGATGAGTACATAGGATACGGTTTTCCGAAACACGAACGATCCGCATTACTGGGGAGTCACGGAAACCTGTCAACGAACGTTTGTGAAATTGACGAATCGGAACTTGAAGCACCCGAGCTTAAAAAACTAAATCCGAAATCCTGGAAATCTGGAAGCGTGACGCAAACAGCCGTGTGACACTCGCTAAGGGCCGATAATGACGGCCCACAAAATGACACCACCGCACTATCATTGCCTTCCGAATCAATAAAGAGAAAAGATAACCGAAAATCTGCGGCTTCATTAGCCGCATTTGTTAATGGACAAGAAAAAGACAATTTAAGGTTTTAATTTTAAGGTTTTCTTTCTTTTTTTTTCTGTTAAGAATAACTGATCTCATATTTAAGAGGCGGTTTTTTTTTTTTTTTTTTTCACGTGTACGTAGATTTGATCTGATTGAAACCTTGGATTTTTTTAAATTTTTTATAATTTAATTTCCAAAAAAAAAAAAAAAAAAAAAAAAAAAAAGAAAAAAGTACATTTAAAATTTACCTCGCAAAAAAAAATACATGAATAAAAATAATAATAATAAAATAAAAATAGTGCCACTTATTTTTTTATATTTAAATAATTTTTTTTTTTTTTTATTTTTTACTTCGACTCATTTAACGTTAAATTAATTTAATTTAATTATTTATTGTTAAAAAAATTTGATTCCAAGATTTATAATCAAATCATTCCCGTACTTAAATAAAAACCATTCTTGTTGATGTTGTTGCGACTGTTGTTGTTGTTATTGTTACTGTTTAACAACACAAAAAAAAATAAAAAATTGAATTTTTTTTAAAAAGTAAAACAATTATTTATAATAAATAAAATAATATCTAATTAAAAATTTAACTTAAGCACTGATTTTGTAAATTTTATTCAGAATGACCAATATTTAATTATACACACACATATATATATATAAATATATATATATAATTTTGTTTTATTAATAAAATTTATTTATCGAAATTTAAAAAAAAAAAAAAAATGGTTGAGAGACTAAATGTAAATAATTTATGTGTAAATTGTAAATTTTCAATTTTTAGACTAATTTTCACAAATATATATTATATCTTTTATACTGACCAAATATTTTTTATTTTCTTATATCCTACAGAATTATTCATCATAAAAAAAAATGAAATCTCTTATTTTTTTCGTATTATTGTAAAAGAATCTCAAGCTCTCATTTTCACATAAAAACACATTATTTTGATATTGAGTTTTTTTTTTTAACTGTGATTGAAAGATCATAGTGCACATAACGAGATATAAAACACTGAGGTAATCAGTCTAAAGTACCCTCTAAAAATGCCAAAGCATCTATATTGCTAATGGCAGCATCTAAATGCTTTCTCATAACTGTTTTTTTATTTTCTTCTACTGTATAAGTGTAAGCTTCTTTGGCTAAAGAATTTATTAATAATTCCTGAACAAATAACAATCGAAAAAAATTAACATCAACAAGAATTTTTATATTACTTTGAAAATTGACTGTAAATTTGTTTTTGTTACTTACCGTTGCTTTAGTTATGAGGAAGACAGCTTCTTTGCTAGCTAAACTTACATCTGGATCTATTTTCATTAATTTTTTAATTCTGTTCACTGGAAGTCTTAATAATTTTTCAGATAAGTCTTCAGAATCAGGGTGAGTAATATTTACAGCACTACTGACATCTAAATCCCCATCGAATTCATCTTCATCTTCATTGAAATTATTTTCATCATCATCTTCGTTGTCTTCATCCTCATTGTCATTATCATATTCATCTTCGTAATCATCATTTTCATTATCATCATAAACTTCATCTCCTTCAGCTTTGTATTCATTAACTAATTCTTCATTATTATCATCATTATTACCTTCATCACCATTACCACCATCATTATCACTTAAAACGTTAACCTCTAAATTCATATCTGTCTCAGTTTCATGTAAAGTATCGAAACTTTCCATTATTAAAAACAATTTTCTTATTCGGTTAAAATAAAAAAAAAACACTATTTAAAAACACTATTAAAACACTATTATAACACTTATTAAAAACACTAAATCACTATTTAAAAACACTAATTTTTTAACGGAAAAAAAAACTTCACTAAATCATGATAACCGAACATGAATTTTCACTACATTTTTTTTTTTCTTGTTTCATTAATTTAATTTTTTATGATAATTCATAAGAATTATCTATATTAATAAATATTTATTAATTTTGTTTTTATTAAAAATTTAACAAAAAAAAAAAACAAATTTAAATCATAAATTAACACTATTAAAAACGAAAGTTTAACTCGAAATTCACTTTTCGTTACTATCGGCACGCTTATTTCTTTAACCACGTTTTATACACTCTACGAATGAATAAATGAATGTTATAAAATTTTGAAATTTTCTTAAACCACGTTTTATATACTCTATGGTTTTAAGTGTTTTAATATTTTAAAATGGTTTCATCCCGCCAAAATAATATTATGACAAAATATGAAAGATTAAAAACTGCTCCACCTTCCCCCCCCCCATTCTATAAGTTTTATAACATTTATTTTTACAATTTATAAGTTTTTTTCCCTCCAAAATTTAAATAATATTTATTTTAATTGAAAAACAGTATTGTGGAAAATCTTCGTTACATTTATAACAACAATTATTCTTTGACATACATAAAAAAAAAAAAAAAATTATGTTAAAATACTTGTTTACAATTTTTTTTATTTTTAATAATATATTTTATTGATTATTTTCAAAACAAAAAATAAAAAAAAAAGGATTTAAATCCAATAAACATAATAAACTTAGAGTTTTTAAAAGTTATATTCTAATTTTTTTTTTCCTTTTAATTATAAATTTAATATATATTTTTTTATTTTTTATTAACAAAATGTTTTTATTTTTAAATCTACCTTTAAAGTAAAAATTCTAAAACATTACAATAATTTTTTTTTTTTTTTAGTCAAATAATAAAATTTGAAAGACGATTATGATAAAAAATATTTAAATTTTTTTTTTTTCTTCTTTTATTTTATTTTATACATTTTGAAAAATGGAAGACTAATAGAAAAATTTATTCGTAACTGTAAATAAAAAAAAAAAAAATTCTCGTCATCTGCTTTTAATTCAAAATAAAAAAAAAAAAAATAATAAAATAAAAGCAAATAATAATAATAATAATACAATTCGCAACACATTCTCTAACACTCACTAACACTTATTGTTTTATCAAAACATTATCATTATCATCATTCTCATAGTCGTCTATTCCTATATCATCAATAAAAAATTATTTTTTTTTTCAAAATAATAAAATTCAAAACATATTTTATATATATTTACACATTATTATTATTTTTTTTCTTATGTACATAAATTGAAATTAATCTTATTGAAAAAAACTAATTAAAAAAAATTTATTCGACTATCGAATACAAACATACAATTTACAAATTACTCATATCTATTATTATTATTATTTTTTTTTATGTTACGCAAATGTTGTGAATAAAAAAAAACTTATGTATATTTCTATATTTGTACAATTAATAATAATTTTTATTATTATTATTTACATTTATTTATGTGTTGAATCTGCTTTTCCTATTCTTCATTCAAAAAAAATTTTAAACTTAAAGCTTTTAATACTTTTCTTCAAACGTTTTTGTGCAAACGAAAAAAATATTTTCCAAAAAAATAATAATAATAATAATAATAATAATTTTTTTTTGTTTACAACATTTCATAACGATAAAAATAATAATAATAATTTTTTATAATAATATAAATAAAACTGTTTTATTTATTTATTTGAAATAAAAAAAAATTCAGTTTTAAATATACAAAAAAAAAATATTTAATTCATTTTAAATATTTTTATTATTATATAAATATACATACATAAATTTATTTTTATATATATATTTATTTATTTTAATGAGGAGGTGGAGGAAACAAATAATAATGATAATAATAAATTTAATTGTTGACACCAGTGAAAGATGCGTCACACAACAAATTTTTTAATTTTATCGTCCTATTATTTCTCGTACTATATGTTGTCCTTTATTTTCCTTTTTTTCCTTTTTTTCTTCTTCTTCTTTTTGTTTTATTTATCACAGTTTCAATTAATTAACAGTTTTATTTGAATTTTTATTCGGATTTGACAATGGTTAAATGCATCGTCGGTTCACCGACAGAAAGATCTGTGGGTTTTTCACTTTCTTGTTTTGGAGAAGGAGTCGGAGACTGTGTAAATCTTGTCGATAAATCTGTCGGACCGTCGCCATCAGACATCACGTCCATCGCTGAATCATCCTTTAAAGGCTCTTTTTTAATCGGTGTTATGGTTATTGATGAATGAGAAGAAGGAGAGTGTTGTTGTTGTTGTTGTTGTTGCTGCTGCTGTTGTTGCTGTTGAAGTGAAATTTGTTGCCGAAGAAGAGAAATATTTTTTATTGATTTTAGTTCGCTAGGATTCCTTAAAAACCTATTTTTTAAAAACGATTCGTTAAATTTTTGATACGGAAATAATTGATTCAATCAATAAATAATTTTTTTCTTTCACTCACTGATAACAATGCCTTTCCCCTTGAACCTTTCTTAGAATGTTAACTCTGTAATAGTAACGTAAGGCTCTGGACATTTTATCGTAATTCATCGAGAGATGATTTTTTTGTATGCCCCAAAGTTTGGCCAAACCGGCGGGATCAACAATTTTAAATACTCCAGTTTCGTGATTTTTCCAAGCAATAAAATTTGTATATCTCTGAGCGGGATCATTTAATAACTGTTGAAGAAAATCCCAGAGAAGGCGACCATCTGGAAAATTATTAATCGGTTATTAATTCATTTTTTTTCATTCATTCTTACAATCATCATTATTATATATATTCTTTCTTACTTGTGTTCGGTTCATGCGGTACATCATTTGAACCGGGAGGGAAAAAATGTTGTTGTTGTTGTTGCTGCTGCTGCTGTTGTTGCTGCTGTTGTGATGATTGTGATTGCCTATGTGATGAAATTCCAGCTTTGTGATTTGCTCCGGGAGAAGTGGAAGGAGCAGGCGGAGGTAATGTGGGAGGACTATTGTCGACAAAACTTTCTTCTTCAGAATCAGACTGATGGCTTCCAGTGCTACCTCCACTTTCAAAACCTTTCATCATCAAGTTAAATAAAACATTTTTTTTTTTTATTCGGAACAAAAATCCTAATTTTAAAAAAAAGTGATGCCTCTTACCGCTGGATGCTTGGTTATCCGTAGAAGAATGTTCTGGACTTCTTGATTGGCTATCGGTAGAAGGCGCCGGACTGAGAGTCACAGGGTTAGTAGAATTAATTATGTGCGCTGCATTTTGAGCATACAGATCCGACAATGACCATCCTCCGTAGGGCAGAGGTCCAAATGGATAAGACGGATGCCTAGACGGTGGGGTTCCCGGACTGGACGGTAAACATCTTTGTAATGAATTTGTTTCTCGTATAAGGAGCTGTAGAACGTTATGTAAAACTCTTCCGGACCAAGAGCATCTTTCGTTAAGGTCACTCTTGGTGAGGAAACAAAGAGCTTTTCCTGTAACAAAATCAACCGGAAATAAATGGTGATTATTTTTTTAAATGACCCATGGGGCAATAAAAGAAAAGAAGAAAAAAAAAAGTGACAAATTAACTCACCGTTCATTTGAAATAAATCCATATCGAAATGTGGCAGATCGAATTCTGTTTCACACCATCTTAAAAAGTAAACAACATCTTCTCTCGACCACAATCGCGGATCTGTGGCTAAAATTATAATTAAAAAAAAAAAATTAAATTAACCGTCATTATTTATTAATTATTTTTTAAAAATTTGTTTTTACTTTGTGGTGATACCTTTTATTACACCTTTAATTAAAATCTTAATTAATTATTAATAAATTAATAATTTTTTTTTTTTTTAAATTAAATTCAAATTCATTTTTTGTGTGTGTGTGGGAAAAAAAAAACAATAATTTAAAGATTTTTTTTTTTTTTTTTTTGTAAATTGGCATTGCCTTTTGGGTTTGGCATATTTCCAGTTAAAAACAGATTTAGCAATTCTTGTAGACGATCAACAGCTTACAATGATGGCGCCGTTAAAACAGTAAATTGTCAAAATCAGGACGAGTAATAATAATTATTTTTTAATAATAATAAAACATTATCTTTTTTTTTTTCCTCCATTTCCCAACGATAAAAAAAAAAATTATTGTTATTCAAAACACTTAAGTTATCCGACTCTCATATATCCCTTACCTAAACTTGCTGGAAGATGTAATTTGAAATCTGATAAGTAACCTTGATTTGTTGGAGACGAAAATCCTAAAGGATACCTCAAAAGTAAATCTGAAGCGTTAAACGGCATTGGTAAAGGCAAACGATCCATACCAGAAACAGGAGGAAGTTGAATCATGGGTAACTCTTTCATCGGACCTGAAAATTAATAATAAAAAAAAACAAGATCAGCAATTGATTATATTGGCCGGAAGTGATGATCACAGAAGAAGGTAGAGGTTGGCCGTGACCTTGAAGAGATCAATGACCACGATTGTTAATATAATATACACACACACACACACACATACATACAATTCTTAGACACGGTTCTTGTTATTCTTTAACTTACGCGCGTGAAATATAAAACAAAAGAGAAAATTTTCTTTTTTACTTTTTTTCCCCAAGGAATTTTCCGTAGTAAATTTTTATTTTTTGAAAAAAGGGATTAGAGGATTTGACGCATTTAACAAATGTAAATAAATAATTTTTTTTTTTTTAAATTAACCAAAAATTCAAAGGAATATTATAATAATAACCTTGTAGTGATTATTCAAGGACAAAAAAATATTCGGGCTCGATTGTGACTTCCAGATTTTTTTTTTTTTTAATGCGGAATCAAGACTTGTTTTTTTTTTTTTTTTTTTTTCTTTTCTGCCGACTCTAAGAGTTTGTCTTCCTTGTAACCGTCACGGGGGTTATAAGTAAATATGCGCATGCGCACTTATTATACCTACATTTTAATACTTCCTTTGATGACGCATAAACAACATAAAAAAAAAATACTAACTAGTTGATGGAAAATTTCTTTCTTTTTTTTTCTTAATATTTACACGTTTGCTTGTAAGTAATTAAATAAATGAAAAAAAAAGAAAAACAGGATGTTAAAATTTTGTCTTTTAAATGAGTGATGGTTAACCAGTAAAAAAAAAAAAAAATATTTTGATTATGAAGCCTTATATTGGCCCGTCATGTTGTTGTTGTTGTTGTTGATTCCTACCAGTATTATTATTTAACATTTAAAAAAAAAACTTATGCAACAATTATTATGATACACACACACACACCACACTTAAAGATGAAATTACATCATTTATTTTATTATTAATTATTATAATTTGATTGGGGGAAAAAAAAATTTTCTTTCATTTTCTTTTCTTTTTTTTAAAAAAAAATAAAAATCATAAAACCTTTTTTTCATTACTTTAGGTATTCGACTTTAAGGAAACGAAAAAATTCCCCCCAAAAGTTACTCTCGTCGTTTGTCTTATTTCCTAACGTTAAATCATTTTAAATTATTATTATTATCGCCAGTGAAAAAAAAAAAAAAACCTGTTCATTACACAACCATAACGTGTCCACACACAATTGAATTTTTTTTTTTCGTTGTTATCACATAATGCTAACGAAAAAAAAACAATTAAAACAATTTTTTTAAGTTAAAAATTATAAAATTTCATTAAAATGTGTAAATAAAAGGGATTTTAGGAGGGAAAATTCATTTTTAAACTATAAAAAAAAAAAAAATTTATTTATTAATCGTTCGATTTCCTATAATAAAAAAAAAAAAAAGAAAGGAAAACAAAAACAGGAAAAAACATTATCATCATCATCCCATCGATGATGATTCATCCTTTTTTTTTTTTTCCTTTGTCTGCTTTCAAAAGATCAACGAAAAAAAAAATATATATGTATATATTGTATAGATATAATTGTATACATATATATATTTACGTAAAGTTAACCGCGAAGGACGAATAGCGGTATTTTCCGGTGAGGAAATCATTGCCGCGTAGGAAGGAAAACTACTTTCGGACTTAAACCATTAACCGTGAATTAAAATTCGTCCCGGGAAAAAAAGAAAGAAAGAAAAAAAAATCAAATAATTTACAGACCATTTCTTTAATACTAAACAAATAACAATTTATACTAAATATTAATATATATTAATGAGAAATTATCAAACGTAATGATTTATTATGTCATTTTAAAAAATATTCGTTTTTAAAATCTTTTTTTGTATTTCTTTCCTCTTGCTCCCCACAAAAAAAAAAAAAAAAATACGTAATGAAATGAAAAATGTTAAGGTGGAAAAAATAAAGTGGGAGGATCCTCGTCATTTTGTTTATTTGCCAGTAAAAAAAAAAAAAAGGAGGAAAAACCAAGAATGTTGGCGCTTTCCGTTTTACGTCATTACGACTACTCCATGCATCTATATATATATATGGGTGCGTGTGTGCGTGCGTGTGTATATAAGACAAATATTGTTCTTTTTTTTTTTAAATTGATATTGTCTTTTTTAAACGTGTCCCATTAATTCCTTAAAATCGCGAGATATAATTATTATTAATTACGTAAACAAAGGAAAACATCGGATTGCCGCAAAAATAAAAAAGTTTTTTTTAATATATATATATATATATATATATATTAAAAATAGGGTGCCAACGCATTCAAGTATAAATAAATATATTTCATAGAAAGGAAATGAAAATAAAATTATATCTTTGTAACAACTTTGGACGTTCGATTTTGTTTACGGAAGTTTAAATAAAGTTGGCAAAGAGCATCGTTGGAACGATGAGCCTAAAAAAAAAAATGTTTGTGGCTTTTATTATTAAATATTACAGTTTTTTTTTTTTAATTATTTTTCAGTTACTATTTAAAAATACATAACATACATATATTAATTATTATCATTATTTTTAAATAAAATCGTAATGAATGCACAAATCGGCCGTAATATTTCGTCATTTTACGTCGTAAATATTTTTTTTATTTTTACTCTGCTGCAGCAGCAGCAACAACAGCAACATCACTCAAAGGAAACCGAATTACAAAAAAAAAGAAAAAGGAAAATGTTAATAATATTAAAAAAAAAAAAAAAATTTTTTTTACCGCTGACCGTGAGCATATTTGTGGAGAATGGAAAACGACTTTGTTTTTTGGTTTTTTTTTTTTAAATATGATCTTACGACATCGTAAACAATTTAAAATTTTACCTTCAATTATTATTATTATAATTACTTTTTAAAATTTCTTTTTCGACGCTTACCAACAAAAGAATTGAACCAAAAAAAAAAATTCATTAATTACCCACCGAATTTATTTTTAAAAAATTTTAAAACCCCTAAAAAAAAATATTTTATATATTTTATATTTTTTGTAATCATGTCTTAAAAAACCATTTCCCTTCGTGAGAAGAGCTTTAAAAAATAAAAAAAAAAACGTAATTTAAAAGCATTTCCGGTATCATTAAAGGTCAAACATTTGATTCGTTTCCGGTTATCCAATACACGCCTACGAATCATTTTTCATTCCGTTTGCATTCGTGGATGGACGATGTAAAGTTGACAAGGAAAGAAATAAATTCCTTTATGTCTGAAATGTAGTCTCTCTCTCTCTCTTTCTCTCTCTCTTTCTCTCTCTCTCTCTCTCTCTCTCTCTTATGATTCTTACATGGGGTCTCGAACCGTCGTCGGTTGATTACTTTTAGGCATTTAGGCTCGGAAACGTTGCGGAAATTCCACTAAGGTAATGAAGAAGTTCATAAAAGAAACTTCGACAGACTTTCATATTTAAAAATAAAATAAAATAAATTTTTTTTTTTTTTTTTTTTACTTTTACTCATTCATCATCGATTTAAATTTTATTTTTATTATTATTATTATTTTCGTTTGTTATATTAATAATAATAATAACGACTACTGAGATTCAAGTTCTTAACGAATCGAGCGAGAGATACAAACTTGGTACTTGGATGATTTTCGGCAATCAAATCACTTCAAAACGTTTTTGATGAAATGGAAATCGTCCGAGAGGAAAATTTGAATACGAGAATTTAAAATAAATTTTTTTTTTTTAAACACGCGCCTAAAAAAAAAAAAGAAAAAAAACCCCAAAACAAAACAAACCGCGACCCAAATCGGTTTCTTATCAACAACTCAACATGATCCTGATAAGGAAAAGAGGAATGACAGGCGTTATCATCACCGGAAGTTACGTTCCGAGAATTATTAGGGAACCGATAAGAGGTTATTGATAAAGTCAAAAACCTTAAATGGCAGCAAAGACACCGTGTTCAGCCTTTTCGTATAAGCGTTTTGGCTTTTTCTTTTTATTTTTTCTTCTTTTTTCTTTTTATTTTTATTATTAAAACGAAAAAATTCTTTGAAAAGACTCAGAACGCGTAAATATGCTTTCAAGGTTTATTATTAACTTCCGGCTTTACACCGGAAACGGAAAGACTTTTTCGTTTTTCTGTACTTCTCTTTTATTAACCTACATTGTTTTAAGTATCCGTTTCCGTTTCTTTAATTAAAATACACTTCCGTTCAACTATTCTTCAATTTAAACTTCCGGTTGGTAACGTTTCTTCTTTTTAAATAAAATTCTGTCTATTTATTTATATTTATACATTTAATAAGAAAAAGATATTAACATAACAATAATAATAATTGTTGTCGTTTGTTGTTGTTTTTGTTGCGCATAAATTTCCTCCTTCCCCCATTAAAATAATCAGACGCAAGTAAAATAATAATAATAATAATATACATGTACTAGTTTTTTTTTTTTTTTTTTTATTTGCGTGTATGAAAACAAAAAAAAAAGTATTGACGTAAAAGAAATATTATTATTATTATTATCATTATTATTTTTTTTAATATTAATTTCCTTACAAAGCGAATAACAAGATAGAAATTTTATTTCCGGGTTCCTGAATTCCCGGTGTAAACCACGATAACAAAAACTTTACTTCCTATTAAACAAAGCTGTTGGGACCTTTTGGGTGTTTTCCTGACAAGATAAACATAAGCGAGCAAAAGCTTCAAACGGTATAATATAAAAAGATCCACTTGTTTATATTTTGCTTATGAGTTTCATTATTTTTATTATTTTTTATTTTTATTTTTCGATTGATTATTGTTGTTGTGTGACGTGTGTGTTTTCACAGAGTTCGAGACTTTTTTTTTTTTTTTTAAATTATCGTTTGGGTTGTTTCAATTATTTTTTTTTTATTTTTATTTATGTATAAAAAATAAATAAATAAATTTTGTACTGAAAAATAATAATAATAAAAAGACTGCAACACTAATAAATTATTTGTTTAAACTTTTTTTCTTTCTTTTCTTTACGGTTGATAAATACGTTTTA